AACAGGATTTATTCCTCCCGGAATACCTTACTGGAAGTTAAGGGAAGGACAGTGTCAGGAATGGCATGATCAGAGCGCTCTCTTTCCCTGCACTTCTCTCTTGGCCCTTCTCTGTGTGTTGGCTTTGTCCCTGAGCTAGCTTCTCTTCTGGCAGCTAGTTCACAGTGGCTTCGTGATTCTAGGTTTCCTGCCTGCACACTGCACAGTCCCAAAGCTGAGGTTTCTGTCTCAACATCCCAGAAAAGTCCTGAGATTTGTTCTGATTGGCTAGGCCTAGTTCACATGCTACCTCCGAACTAATGATCAGGGCTGGGGTGTGGAATGTCTAGATTTAGCTAAGCTGCCAAATCTCCAGTCTAGACTTGTGGGTGGGGCCATGAGCCGAGGTGGATACCTGAGGGAAACGCTGGGTGTTGTTAGCAAGTGGACAGAAAAAGAACTCTGGGACGGCGCCATCGAATGCCCACTGCCTCGATCAGCAGGTGTCCTGGAGGGCCGGCATCTCCCAGCACCATGCTAGGCTCTAGGATCACCTGGGGAGAGAACAGATAATTGCCTTCCTCAGCGGCACTTCTGCTCAGCACCCAGGGCAAATGTGGCAGCACGGGGTGGGGCACAGTCAAGGCCCCTCCGGGTCTTAGCCACATTTGGGTCTAGGTGTCTGGATGCTCTGGGCAGACAGAGACCCCTCTGGGTCTTGGCCACATTTGGGTCTAGGTGTCTGGATGCTCTGGGCAGACAGAGACCCCTCTGGGTCTTGGCCACATTTGGGTCTAGGTGTCTGGATGCTCTGGGCAGACAGAGACCCCTCTGGGTCTTGCTCACATTTGGGTCTAGGTGTCTGGAGCTCTGGGCAGACAGAGGCTGCCTTGTCTGACTGGCTTTGGCGGCTCTAGCATGGTGGACTCACAGGAGGATTGAACAGGGGCTGGAGGGGCGCTGGGAACCCTGGCTCCCTCTCTCAGGACCCGAGCCGGCTGCCCCGTTCTCAAAGCTGCGCTCTCGCACAGGCGCCGGGGCTCTCGCTCTCCTCTTTTTTCCTTCCATCTCACTAATTTACAAAGTTCTTCTTTAAAAAAAACTCCGTGTTTCCCTGCTGAGACTTTGCCTAATGAAGTATTTTATAGCATCCTCTCCCTTAAAAAGAATGAGGTCGAATGCTTATTAAATTAATTTTTGCTTTAATGTATTTCCTCAATATTTCATGCTGTGGACACAACTGTTTCTGCAAATGACTTTTTCCAAGAAGCCTGATTTATTTTTAATTGTCTATGTCCCTCAGTTTGGGTGCCAGCTACTCTCATTACTTCTGTTTGTTTAGGAGTTAAGGCCTGGAGCTCTAACAGGTAAAGGTTTCTCCCCTTGGCGAGGCAGGGCTGTGTTGTGGGAGCACACCCAACCCGAACGGGAGGGACAAAGTGCTGGTTACTTTCCTGTGGCTTCCAGAAGCGACAGACAAATCACATTCTCTCCCACATGTAAGACATTCTACAGTATAGAAAGGCTGTTTACAGGGCCCATCTTCAAAGCTCCACATTTTGGTGAGGTTTCCCCCC